ACACCAAGTTAAACTAAATGAAAATGAGATGTTGCTTTGACGACTATCTTGGCAGCTTTTATTGCATTTGATATCTTATTCTACACACTGTTTTAGTTTTAGTTAACTGGGGCCATGTAAGATGATGATTCAGCTGATTTTTTCATGTAAAAGCTGCAGGTGAGGTCAGATTTGTGATGCATCAGTTTGTAATCGTAACATTGGGTCCGTTCTCAGCGAGTCCGGCGGGTGATGTCCGCCATGGTGTACCCACGAGAAGAGACGCTGGAGCGGCTGACGCAGGACGAGATCGTGCTGAACACTAAAGCAGTGATGCAGGGTTTGGAGACGCTGCGAGGGGAACACGCTCAGCTCCTCAACTCCATCCTGGACTGCGCTCAGCCGGCCGTCGCGCAGGAGAAATCCAGCCTGCTCCGCAAGAGCCTGGAGGACATCGAGCTGGGACTGGGAGAGGCGCAGGTATCTGAATCCCACCAAAGTCTGTGACTCAGTTTGAACTCAGAATATCCAGAACTGGTTGTTTAGATTGCATTCATTTGACGAATGTTAATTATGCTAATACTTGGGCTGTCAAAAAAAAAATTGAATTTCAAATATTCGTCGAATTTAAATTAAAAATCCACATTCGAATGCAAAAACGTTGCATTGGAATTTTAGGTGCGTTAAGGAGGGAGCCTTATCAGCGGTGCACGAGATGCGATGAGGATGTAAGTGTCGTTGCATTATAATGTTTTTGTTAGGATATCCAGTTGAAGCCACTAGATGCGGCGCTGCTGCGGTGTTCATTAAAAATATTGCAGGAAAAGAGAACATCAATGCGGAGAAGATCTTGTTTATTTCAAATCTGAAACCAAGCCGTTCACACAGAACACATATTTATCGCATTTTCGAGAGGGATATCTATCAGCGTTGCACTCGCATCTCGCACAAAAGAGCCGCATGTTTAGAAAACCATGTTAATGCAAAATTAATGCAAGTTCAACTTTTTAAAAACATGTCTCAAGACGTTATGCCGGTTTTCCCCATCCCGCGGCATCTCATGTTTTTAAATGAAGAAA